CACACACACACACACACACACACACACACACACATACACACACACAAACGAATACGCACACACACACACACACACACACATGCAAAAAATGGCCATAATACCAGGGAAGAAAACTTACATGTGTGATGTTAGTGATCTGGTTGTGGTCACACCACAGCTCCAGGAGGTTGACCAGTCCACCAATGACGTCAGACTGGCGAGACACACACGAGATATTATAGGTAAACAGTTTTGTGCACACAATGAAGGAAATAATAGCTGCGTGTTAATAATAATCTATTATATATTTGTGGGGGCCGAATTTTGCTATTCAAAAGGCTTTTTATCGGCTGCATCGATCGACATACGGTTTTCGCCAAAAGATTCTTTAAAATATTCTCCAGATCATGACGCCCTTCGTTTTTTTTTTTTTCAGTTTTGAAACAGTTTTGCTGCAGAAAGCTAAATTTCTTTATTTCGCCGATCGCTTTTGTAGGCCGACGGTTCTGTCTCTGTAATTTTAGAAAATCCGGAGTGGAAGTGATATTTTGCGAGGCGCATCTTGTTTTGAGAGTATAGATCTAGATCTAGATCTAGACCTTCTATTTTTTTTTTGCATCTCCCAAGATTTATTACTCCATTCCAGTAGAGTGTAAATATAGTAGGCCAATGACTTTCATTTGATGTAAGTGCACCGATCATTCCTTTCATCGAAAGGGGGCCCAGCTAGTAATAATATAAATCCCTGGGTTCATAGTGCTTTGTAGAAACGCAATAAGAAGGAAAGCGTGGAGTCAAAGTTCAATTTGGTTCTTAGACCTCTACGGTTACATTAAACTCTTGAGTGTGTTGTGATCAAACAATTTTGATCATGAGGGACTGAACAGGCTTGAAACTCCCAACTTCCATAATAATAAAATAAAAATAAAAGTCTCTGTGAAGATTAAAACCCATTTTATTTTGTGAGCCACTCGTGTTATCAGTCTATCGTTTTGTCTCCCTCCCTCTCTCCCTCCTTGTCTGAAATAATTCCATAGTGACTCACCAGTTCTGTGAACTCGTTATTCCCGATGTCTAGCCTCTCGAGAGAGACTAGTCTGCTAAAAGATCTGGGTAAAGTCTTCAAGTGGTTCTCTCTCATCTCCAGAATTCGCAGCTTGACCATTCTGATGCGGGAAGAAACAAACAATAACTTTTAGTCTTAATGATTTTCAAGAGATTATTAATAATAACTACTGTACGTGGTTACCAAAGAAAAGACAGAAGGGAGGGGGAGAGCGAGAGAGAGAGAGAGAGAGAGAGAGAG